AAATACCCTGATTCAATAAACGTCGAATCCCTTTAAATGTTTGGTAATTCTCCCAGTATAAAACTGCTATGATTGAACAAGAGTCTGATACCTCTTAATAATACTATGGTGAGTCCTTCCCAAATTTAACTCAACTAAAAACAATCATAACCAAAATAATTTGAATCATCCGACAAATGCAAACGTTAATGGATACAGTACACATGTCTATGTACAAACACTGAATAAACTACTGTGCATTGACTGTTATATATCACAGCTCAGTCTGCTGGCTTGATGATTTTCTTCCACCACATACCAAGCCTTAGAATTAAAAGAACCGGTACCTAGCATTAGACCAATTCAGTGTTTCTAATTTAAATAGGAGGATTTGTTTTTGATTGCATCCGACAGTTATTCCAATATCCAGTGTCTCACGACCGTATCGGAACATAATTTAGCAGAGAATATACCCTAAGATTCACGCCCTAGTTTAAAACAGTGATCTTGGTCACTGAACTCAGTACTCATACACGAGTTTGAGAATATTTTGTATTTTAGTCTTTCATCACCTCTTGCTTAGAATGATCATTTATTTTTCTGATTCTGCTCCGAACTTGAGTCATAATATATGATCAGATTTAACGTCGCTTAAATATATGGCGAGCGAATGCATCAGCCATTAAGGAGTATTGTCTCAACGCAGTGGTAGAATGTATCAACTCCTTCATATATGAAGCATGGTTTATGTTCAAAAATACATTTAGTTGCTTAACACCCACCCCCTCTTTAAATTACAATTAATCCCATTTGAAATTAACGGTTCTCCGCCATGGATAACGAAGGAGACAAAACATTGTAGCGTGGCGTCGAGTTGAGATTAACTGTGAACACCGCTACCCAGAAACACGTGCCAGACAAATCAGAAGGCGAGGATCGATCGTAACCAGATTTATTTCGTTGGCGATCTCGTGGTATTGAACGAATACCGAGATCGTGCCAAGGAATGGTACAAGTGGAAGCAGAAGACGGGAGTACGTGCGAGCAGTACCAAAAACCGCGGAACAATAATGGAAGGTAATGGAAGCACAAAATGGCTATAATTAGCACAGTTAAACAAAAGCACATTAAAACAAACACTGGTACAGTTGGTTATAATAATAATTGTTTTTATTAAACCAGTCGTGTTCTCGTGATAAACGTGAGTCACTACAGGAGCCCCCCGCTAGAAAGGGTTAACACTTTCGATAAATGGCGGTTTAAATCGTGGGACTGATCGGCTGACGAGCGATTGTAGGACGGAAGAATTGGCGAACAGGAAAGCGATCGTTGATCGTCGAGTTGCCAACGAAGGTCGTTTTCGGAGAACGGTACCAGGAGCGATGTGCTGTATTTGCTGTTTGAGTTGGCATGCTACACCAGAGTGGTTTGTATCCAGAATCTGAAGAGGGCGTTCGTACGGGTCCGGACCATAAACGCTGCAGAAAAAGGACGAAACCACGTTGAGCCAAAAGACCAGAAGCGACCGTAACGACCAAGTTCGAGACCAAGCGTATGCCAAGCATTCGAAACCAATATATCGACTGAGTACGTTGACAAGAGCGTGGGTGATCAGGCCAGCTTTCGCCAAAGTTGACTGAAGTCGACGGAACCAAACGGAGATGGTCGAAGGCGTGGGCTCAGGAAACAAAAAGAAAATCAAAAAAGAAGAGTGTAGCATGCAAGTAGCATAGGAATATTCCTACACCGTATCGGTTGTCGACTGTGCGACTAATCGAGGAAGCGTACGGGTAACCGTACTCGGCGACCGGAACGTGAGACGATAGTCTCGTTCGCGTCGCGTGAGCCTGCAATCTCATCCGAAGTCAAGGGCGGCGTGGTCTGCTGATCTGGACGTGAGACTGTCGTCTCGTCCGTAGACGGTGCAGATGACGCGTGCTGTTGACTGGGACGTGAGAGTGAGGTCTCAGTTGTATCTAGCGTGGGACCTGAAGATGGTTTGAGGATCCCGCTAGTAGGTTTACTTGGTCTAGCATTGAATCTCAGGTTATCAAATAGGGCACTGTCATCGACGTGTGCTGGTTTGAGACGATCAATGCTGACGATCTCGACGCGGCCGTGTCGATCAACCTTGAAGGTCTTTTCGTGACGAGCGATCACGCGAAAAGGGCCTTCGTAAGGTTGTTGCAAAGGTTTGCGTACCGAATCTACTCGTATGAAAACATGTGAACAGGTAGATAACTCTCGAGGGAGAGCGACCTGTCGATGTTGTATTCGAGTTGACACCGGAGACAGCGTTCGCATAAATGCAGACAGTCGTTGGACGTAGTCTGATTTAGCGAAATCATGTCTGCTCCGTGGTGTGAAGAATTCCCCGGGCAGACGCAATGTCGTGCCGTATACAAGTTCAGCGGCGGAACATTGGATATCTGCCTTTAAACTCGTTCTGATACCTAAAAGAACGAGCGGTAAGGTTTCGTACCAGTCGTCGTTTTCGTGTGCTCGAAGAGCACTTTTAAGTTGACGGTGAAACCTTTCAACTAAACCGTTTGAAGCTGGATGGTAGGCGGTAGTGCGTATTCGCTCCGTACCAAGCAGCCGAGTAAGTGAGGAGAATAGTGCGGACTCAAATTGTTGTCCTCGGTCAGTCGTGACGGTCGAGGGACAACCATATAGAGCTATCCATCGTTCTACGAAGCGGTGAGCCACTGTCTCCGCCGTGATAGACGTGATGGGTATAGCTTCGGGCCATCTGGTGAAGCGGTCGATGCACGTGAGTATGTGATCATACCCGTGCGATGGTGGCAGTGGTCCTACAATGTCTAAGTGAACGTGATCGAAGCGAGCATCAGGCGTAGCGAATGTACCGAGGGGGGCGGCTACGTGCCTGTGCACTTTTGATCGTTGACATTGTAAGCATTGTTTAGCCCACATACGAACATCTTTATTCATGGACGGCCAGACGTATCGTGCAGCGATGAGGCGTAAAGTAGCTGCGATACCTGGGTGAGATAATCCATGCAGGGCATCGAATACGAGACGGCGATAAGCAGAGGGTACGATGGGTCGAGGAAGACCGGTAGACGCATCACATAGAATGGTGCCAGAAGTCGTGGCTAGAGGTACTTCCTGATACTGAAGGGACGTAGAGTGTGGTGCTTTTGTACAACTGGGATCGTTTGCTCGGGCAGCGGCCATAGCAGGAAGATCGAGCACCGGCAGGGTAACTGCATTCATTTGGATTCGTGATAGAGCATCGGCAACACAGTTCGACTTGCCTTGGATGTGACGAAGATCTGTCGTGAACTGAGAGATATAGTCCAAATGTCTGCACTCTCGTGGTGAGTAGCGGTCAGACTTGGTATGCAAAGCATACGTTAAGGGCTTATGGTCGGTGAATAAAATGAATTGACGTCCTTCTACTGCGTGCCGAAAATGTTTGACGGCGCAGTAGGCTGCTAGCAGCTCGCGACCAAAAGCGCTATATCTCGTCTCCGTGGTAGTAAGGCGTCGTGAGAAGAACTCGAGAGGTTGCCAACTACCGGAGATGTTTTGTTGCATGACTGCTCCTATAGCGACATCGGATGCATCAACCGCTATACTAAGCGTGGCTGATGGATCGTGATGGGCGAGAAGAGTGGCTTGCGCAAGAGCCGTTTTGATTTCAGTGAATGCAGTACGTGCAGAATCGTTCATTTCCAATCTGCGTGGGTTGCCGCGTAGTAAGTCGGTTAGTGGTCGTAACCGTTCTGCCGCGTGTGGGATGAAACGACGGTAGAAGTTAACCAAACCGAGGAAAGCCTTCAGTTCCTTGAGTGAGGACGGCTCGTTGTACTCCTTTATTGCTTGCACTTTGTCCTCACAAGGTAAAATACCCTCTTGCTTGATAACATGACCCAGAAATATGATTTCTCGTTTACCTAACTCGCATTTCTCTGGGTTAACTACTATTCCATTATCCGAAAGGCGTTGGAATAATAGCGTAAGACGTTGATAATGTTCATCTACGTTTGATGATGCGATTAGCAGGTCATCAATATAGACGTGAACAAAATCGAGGTCTCGTACAATGCTATCGATAAACCTTTGAAAAGTTTGAGCAGCATTCCGTAATCCAAATGGCATTCGTAGGAACTCAAACAAACCGAAAGAAGTCGTGATAGCAGTCTTTTCGATATCTTCAAGAGCGACTGGGATCTGATGATATGCTCGTACCAGATCGATCTTAGAAAAGATAGTCGTGCCCTTGAGCGATGCCGTGATGTCGTGTATGTGGGGGATGTTGTAGCTATCAAAGCGCGTAACTACGTTTAGAGCTCGGTAGTCGCCGCATGGTCTCCAACTAACCCCATCTTTTTTGCGCACCATGTGTAGAGGAGAGGCCCATGGACTGTGAGAAGGACGAATAATACCAGTAGCTAGTAAATTGTCAAACTCACGCTTAGCAAAAGCTAATTTGTCCGGTGCCAGTCGGCGAGGTCGTGCCGTGACTGGCGGTCCGCGGGTGACTATGTGGTGTACCACACGATTGGTCACCGATGGAAGCTCCTCGAGTGGTTTAGTGAGTACGGGGAATTTCTCGAATAAAGCGTGGAATTTATCGTCACGCGAGTAAAAAGTGCCGAGGATTCGGTACGCGTTCATGTGGGCTTTACAGCCCATGAATTTGCTGTTCGACGAAGTATCGATTAGCTGCAGCCTACGTGAATCGACAAGCAATTCATAGTGCTGTAGAAAATCGATACCTAGTATGGCTGTGGGAACATCAGCAATGATGAACGTCCACAGATACCGTCGTCGGTTGCCCAGGTTGACCGCGAGTTGTCGTGTACCGTAGGTAGGAATGACTGAGCCATTCGCAGCGCGTAGTCGAAGCACTGTGGCTTGTGACTTGCTGCTACCTCGTGGTACGACAGAAACTTGGGCCCCAGTGTCTACTAGGAACCTAGCGTTCGTGCGGTAATCGTGCACATAGAATAGGCGACCAACCTGGGGTGAAGGGCCGGCGAGTACGGCCGCTTTTACTCGCCGGCGCTGGCGTTTCCCGCCTTGTATGAGCATGGTGCTCGACAACGGCGGGCGCCAGACCCGAAGGACCTATGGAACCAGCACCAACTATCACTCGCTTCCGTAGCCGCCTTCCGGCGTGGCTTGGAAGATGCCCTTTTTGGGCGAGTGGTGACGCGTTTGCGAGAACTTGAGCGAGCTCGGGGGACGTAGGGTTGGGGTACGTTACAACGGTCTCGAAAACTAAGACGTGTGTGGATACACCCGTCCCTGTCGCCATGAGCTGAGGAATGACCGGCGTCCAAGTCTACTTTAGGACGTGCCGTTGAAGCAACTACATAGGTATCTTTATTGCTAGTCCTCGCTAAAATTTTATCTGCTATGAGGGCTACCTGGTCAAGCGGTGAGTCCTCGAGCAGTGCCGTCACAGTGGGTTGGATATGTGCTGGTAGTGACTCTAGCCACAATTCCTTAACTATTTCTGAGTCACTTGCTGTTGGTCCTGCAAGAGATTGCAGGCGCGTGAGGTGGTGGCTCGGTTTAGCATCACCCAGGGGGTGACGTGCTAACAGTGTCCTCAATCGTTCCTCCCTCGATGGGAGGAAATGTCGGAGAATTGCCTCTTTGAGGCGATCATAAACATTAGGTACGTTAGAATTGAGGACAACCTCACGAACAGCTACTAAGTGGTCCCCGGGTAATGACTCGAGAGCGTAGGCGTATTTTTGCCTTTGGCTCGTGATGCGACGAGTCTCGAACTGAGACTCTAACGCAGCAAACCAGACCTCAGGGTCGTGGGGGATAAATGATACAGGTCGAAAATGAATGGCCTGTACGTCTGAGTCTATAGCATTAATAGTATTCTTCTCGCTATCCGTCATGTCGTGTATACTATATATTAAAAATTAATATGAAAATATACGACAGACGTGGATAGATAAATAATAGACTCACCAAATTGGCTTCTTTGGAAGATTTGACCCGAGGTTGAGGCGTGTTCCAAACTTTGGGATCACCAATTGTAGCGTGGCGTCGAGTTGAGATTAACTGTGAACACCGTTACCCAGAAACACGTGCCAGACAAATCAGAAGGCGAGGATCGATCGTAACCACATTTATTTCGTTGGCGATCTCGTGGTATTGAACGAATACCGAGATCGTGCCAAGGAATGGTACAAGTGGAAGCAGAAGACGGGAGTACGTGCGAGCAGTACCAAAAACCGCGGAACAATAATGGAAGGTAATGGAAGCACAAAATGGCTATAATTAGCACAGTTAAACAAAAGCACATTAAAACAAACACTGGTACAGTTGGTTATAATAATAATTGTTTTTATTAAACCAGTCGTGTTCTCGTGATAAACGTGAGTCACTACAACATCTTCGTATACACGGGATGAGATTTCGAAACACGTTCATTTTTACCGGCTCTGAACAGTTCAGAGTCACTGTGACGATTAGAAATAGTCGAATTGTTGTGCCAAATAGGAATTACAGAAATAACTCAATTTAAGTGAGGTAGAACTAGGTGAGCACAAAAAAAATATATTTGAAATTCAAAATCAGACACTTATTGAGTACAAAAAGAATCATCAGTTCATACAAATATCACAGTCACTTACCGTAAAACTATAAGGGCCTGCCCAGAATATTAAAGGAAATGACAAGCCAACAGTTGTGAAAATATGAACAAATTAAAAGGACATTAGTGACAGTCAACGTTGTCAGAATAAAAATCACCAAGCCAGTATTGTGTCATTTAACCGATTCATTTAGAACACACTTATTAAATTTAAAGAGGTTTCGACTTATAGTGGTACCACCGACCACAGTCAGCGTTATAGTTTACCGTACACTAATTATTTTAAAGCTAGTTGGAATCTATATACGGTAACATATGTAGGTGCTTATTTCAATATGGCGATTAGGATTAGAAAAAGTAAACTGTTGGTATCGATCAAAAAAGAATTTTTTCCAAATTTTGATTCAATGCAACCCATAGAAATGAATGACATGTTAATTATGATTAAATCTATCAACATGAAGTGCTGTATTTATATAAATAAAAATGCAGCAGAATTAAGCTAAATCTGGTAATGAAGAATATTCCCTTTTTAAATGTGACCAGTTTCGTAAGGTTTACAGAATCTCTTAAACAAACCCCACTACATATGGCTTTGTGCTACCTGTGGTATTCAGAAGAATAAAATAGAAATTATCCGATTATAAAACAGAGTTTACATAATAATCAAAGAGATTTTCAAAGGGCATAAAACACTCTAAAGGAAATGAAAATAGAGAGTTATCCACGGAGTAAACGTTTTGTGGTGAACTCAAAGACTAGGAATGTTTGTATATTGTATATCCAGCAATTCAAAATCAATATGTTAGCAAGCAAAGGTTGATAAAATCAAATTTTCTTTCACCTATTTAGTATGATCTTTGTAATCATAACTTCAATTACTGGTAGTAGGCCCTTAAATTATGAAGTTTTCATCAATAGTATTACTATCTTAGTTGTAACGATAACCGCAAACAACGTTTTTATTCAAATCTCTTCACGACCATTGCTGTTTACTAACCACTTACTATTAATTTTAGCTGACTGCCTTTAGCATGTCTCAAAGGTCATAGGTATTTTTATGAATACAGAGTTGTTCTACTTCAGATTTGACTTCTAGAATACCAAGCTATTTCTGCAATCGTGTCACACACTTCGGTTTCATTGTTCGAGGAAAATTGTTGGAGCCTTTTTGTATGTCATTGGCCGTACTATTGGGTTCTCATTGGCTCCTGATCATGTTAAAGGAGTCCCCATCATTCATCATTTGAACAACAACGTAGACCAATCGAATCGTTTGTCGAGATTCAACAATTACAGGGACTAATTATCCCAGTTTATTTAGCCAGAAATTATTTCATCACCAGGCCTGCTCACAAGAGAACAATTGATTCTTTAAGCTTCATGTATCAACGGAAGTATACATAATGAATGTTAATTGATGAATTAGGTGCATACATATCTTGAACGCCTACATGAAATTCTCATAGTTTCATGAATAAATAAATAACCTCAGTTAGCAAAACAACTTTGTACCCAGTCTAAATTGTTGCCACATTGTTCACCTAACTAATTTCCAACAATCCAATAACTTCGCATTTTTCAGCTAACATCATTAAAACATTACATTCTTTCATACACATACATGGCATTCTTTTGTTTAACAGAATAGCAAAACAATCAAACTTTATTCGGAATCCAAAAATTAAATTTATTCACGTATTAAAGTTTATAATTTGAGCGATAATACTGAATACTTCAATTCAATGATTTAACTTCTATGACGTGTTTTACTTTAAAGTAATCGATGGTTAACTTATACAAATGTCTGTTTGGTTAATATTGAGCAGTTTGTTTCTAACAACTACAGTTTCAAGTATCGCTTCTTGTAAATTGGTCAAAGCAGCAATTAATTCGATGTTGAAGGCTTCACTATGACGGAATTATTCTGAATACCTGTGCGAAATGAAGATAAAAGAAAAAGACTTTCTGAGAAAATATTCCGTTTGCATTCACTTTTCTAAAAACAATAAAAAACTATATTGTGAATGAAAACAACATGTATCAGGTACGCGAATGTCATAAGCAGGCGAAATTACCCGACTGTAGTTCGCCGAAAACATTATGGTCCCACGGAGCGCTTTTGTTTTCGAAGTTGCAGTAAATAAAATTTATTATCTCAATAGATACATTTCCTTTTATTTTAATTAGGTGCTGATAACACTTATTGTCTTTGTATCAAACATAAAATAGAATCGGACGTGCTTCGATTGATTGTAATCAAGTATTTTCTGATTGGTTGGAAAGTGTTTTTCGTTCAAATCACGAAACAAATCTTTTTCTAAATTTAAATCACCATCATATGAAAGCAAACAACCAATCACAACGTCAATTTACATGTAACACAGCCAACATTTTAGAAAACAGTTTAGATAGAATGATTCGGTACAAACAAATATAGATATTAGTGTCAGAAAGCACTGAATTTCAATTTATTTAACAAAAATCTACTAATCCTCCTCCATGTTAATGATTAAATAATAAATTGTGGCAAAATTGAAGTCGGTAGTATCATCAAAAATCATAAGGATTCAACTTATCAAAATTCATTCGAGTAAAACAAAGAACGTGAAGTTGAAGAAAGAGAAGATGATAAGAGTTTTAAGAATATTGAAAAGTATATTGCCAATACTGAGACCATACATATTGGTTAGTGGAAAGGGAGTAACTGTTAAAAACCCTATGACTATTGATGTAGCTGCAAGATAAGAACCCATTATCCTACAAACTACCCATGTTACATAGTGTTATCAGTGTTCAAACCTCACTGACTAGTCCAAAATATCAAGTCAGATGGATTCAGATAGAATAGGTATTTACCATCCTACTTGAACTATTTAGGTGTGTGTTGTATCATTCACAAACATAAACAAAGTATAAAATGAAGGTGAGTAAGGAGGCAAACGATCGATAAAATAAGTAAGTGTACAGACATCACAAACAAATCAAGTACATATGTGTACTATAGGTTTTAGATAAATACAAGTGAAGTACTCTGCGTAAAAGTCACTAAATGCTTGACCAGATTTCAATGGCATTTCATAGCTCATTAATGGCTACAAACATAACTAGATTCATGTACGTCTAAGTGAATAGCATGTGACAGCACAGACTTCAAAAAATTTCATTACATCAGATTCATTAGTAGTTTTCAACGGGCAGTCAGTAAGTAACAACGTAAGACCGGGCACATATATGCATAGGTCCAAGTTGCCATACCTCATTAGCACAACAAGATGAACACCAAATTCATAGAAGTAGTTACTTCAATGGTAGTAATATGTAAAAGAAAAATTGTGTATACAGATATAGTACAGGAAGAGATAATTGGTTCGTAAAAAGAAAGGTATGAGGGAATTCTAATCTCACGGTTCAAGAGAAGATAAATAGTGTATACACCTACGCCATTGTGGTCGATTCTGATCCATCTTACACAGAGTCTCCAACCATCGGTTACGATAGTCACGCAGACCCCTACCAAGTAGTCTGCATCCACCAACATGGTTCAGTCTAAAAGTTAGTGACTTCAAGCACTGATGTCAAGATTTGGTTTAGCCGCCCCTAACCTAGTTTCAGCCGTCTCCAACACTAGTCAGAGTTGCGAGACGTGGTAATCAGTGTTGAGTCAACTCAACCAACCATCTCAGTTGATGAAGATTTACAACCTCATCAACTGATTTACCACCATGCCCTAATACCATGCGTCTAACCTCACTATTACTTACCCGGTGATCCCACAAGATTCGAGTAATATTTCTGAGACATCTATGATCAAATACTAGTAGCTTACGAGTATCTTCTACTCATAATGATCACGTTTCACAGCCGTAAAGTAGGACAAAACGAACTACCGCCCAATATACTCGTCCCCTAGTTGATAAACGGATATTTCGCCTTCGCCACAAGTGATGTAAGTTGGCAAAAGCCAAACGGGCTTTCTGAATCCGTGCTGAGATTTCGCCAGACACCAACCCGTTACGGCCGATCGGTCTTGCAAGATAAGTGAAGTTGTCCACGCATTCGATTACTTCACTCGCTATCTATAGTTCAGGTGTTGACACTGACCAGTCCTGAAACAAAAACTTGCATTTAGAGGGGGAGAAATGCATCCCAAACATTCTGGCATTGTTGCTCAGTGCTACCAAAACACTGCATTTTATCAGCGTCTTCACCAAAAACAGGACTATGTCATCTGCGTATTCTAAGTCAATAACTGTACCTCCTAGTACGAGATCGATCCTCGAAAATTCAGTCGACGAGAATGTTATTTCCATCAGTATGTCTATGATGGAGTTCAACAAAAATGGAGAAAGTGGACAGCCTTGACGGACACCATTTGAGGTTGCAAAAGCAGATGACAGTTCGCCATAAGCTCTGACTCGACTAGTAGTGTTCGAGTAAATAGCCTTCACAAGGTTTATGTACTTCTGAAATACGCCTTTCAATGATAGACACTGCCACAGAATCTCGCGGTCTACGGAGTCGAATTCTGCTTCTAAGTCAAGAAAGACCACCATTGTCGGACGCCGATAAGTATGCCTGTGTTCTGGAACCTGACGAATGGTGAATATGTGGTCGATGCAGCCACGACCAGGTCTGAAGCTAGCCTGATTTTCTCGTGCTTGTAGTTCACGAGTCTTAGTTAGGCGTCCGATAATTATTGAAGCTAGTATTTTAGATGCTATATTAGTCATACTGTTAAAAACCCTATGATTATTGATTTAGCTGCAAGATAAGAACCCATTATCCTACAAACTATCCATGTTACATGGTGTTATCAGTGTTCAGACCTCAAGATTATAGATAGACCTCACTGACTAGTCCCAAATATCATGAAGCTGAGACATTATAGTAATTATGGCGAATTTATAAGTGAATGACATATCTACTCATGCTGAAATCAAAAGCAATTAACAGTAAGTTTACGTACTCTAATTCAGTAGTGGATGTAATTCACGTTATTTGAGATGTGCGAAGGAACCATGAAGAGCTATCCATAATGGACTAAAAATTAGACAGAGAATTGGTGAAGATTTCAAAATATTTACATTCGAGAGGTTTTATAACTTGTGACCGCCCATTTGAGAGCAATGACTTATCGGTCGGAACAATGACGCGTCAACCCGTATGAGCAGCCTAGAGTTCTGATTAATCCTGCTTTCCACCTAGCGCACCCAGTTAAGTCCAGAACACAAGTCTCAGCCTCTGCAATATGAATCCTATATTTCAAACATACTCTGTTTATATACCAACCAAGCAGACCACATCTTACCATAAAATAGAAAATAACATTTGTACAATATTTGACCAACAGGAAAATGACACGTGAAATAAATATTGACCAGTAGGGAAACGACACCATTTCACGTTCAAGGATAGCATTAGACTTAACAGGATATTTTTCTGAATATCCCAACAAGAGGTCATCAGAATTTATTGTGGACCGACTAACTTTTATATTTAACAGACCGTATTAATGGCAGACATGTACTGATATTACATAGACATATTCGCGCTAGATAATTAATCAGTGGTTAAAGCGAATTTGTATGTTTCAAAATATTAGTATTTAACAGAATACAGTAAAAACATGTATCATTCCCAACATGTGTTCATCAGAGTTAAGACATCACTTCGCACCATTTGACAAAAACATCCAACTCATCAACAGATTCCACAATCTGCAACTTGACTGTTCGACACTTTTCTTTGAGCTAAGTGAATACACTTTCAGTAACCAATGAGAAGTCAGTGATGTAGATGTGAAGATAAATGAATGCATTCACTTCGTAGTCGATTTTATCGTCTGTCATCCATAAGGGATTTTGGTTGCTAAAACTCCATGAACCAGCACCAATTTGTCAAAGTCGGTCACCAACCTTCAAGGAATATTCTGTTACCTCCTTCATCTTCGAAGGGAAACTGAAACTGAAATTCCCTGACCAACTCCAGAGTATTTCTCAAGGAAGAATATTTGAAAAACCCGACGAATAACTTACTGTATATCTGTGGAAGTGTCTGAAGAGAAACTGACTGCATCACGCTTCATCAGCATAAAAACTAACAAAACGTATGGAGTTGAATCGAATCCTACTTTTATCACTGATACTAAGACAAATTGAACTATTTTAATTATTCATCTGCCAGTCCAACCTTCAAACATACATTATTATTTATAGTTGGCAGACTTCACAACTCATTTCCGCGTTATTGAAAACGTCATAATAAGAAACCGATCAGTGTTTAAAGACAAACTATGGTCATAAATACATCTTGCTTCATTATTATCCCTTTTAGTTAAGTAATATTAGTGAATTGACACTGATGTTGTCGCGAACTTCACACTGTTTACAATCACTTAGGTGATGTAGGTGAAATATATTTACATAAAATGGTGGAACATAATTACTTCTGTGACATACATGTGTACATATACTCATAGATAATCATTACCTTCATACGAGCGTGATTTGATTTCCAATAACAGATTCTTGATTTTCTGATTATCTGATTCAATGGTTAACAAACACTGACAATAGATGGTAGCATTATGATAGTCCTGCCAAACAAATAAATACAAAAGAACATTATTATCAAGGAATAAAATAATCATTTTTAATTACATTTAATTTTAAGAAACCAACGGCCAAATGATATAAACAATCAGTTTGTAGTTTGGTCAATTTATTGTCTTTTAAAATATCTACATTTTAAGAAATATTCATGTAAATGTAATCTGAAATTAGAATTTACATAAAATAACTTCGATAGCTTCCATTACATTAGATTTCTTAGTAGTTTTCAACAAATTTACAGCATAATCTAAATACAATTTATATCTAAATAACTTTTTATTGTCGGGTAGGTTAGTAGTTCTACATGATGCATCATTTCGACTTAATTGTCTAATTGGGTTCATTAGTGTTGGTTTGAATTTTGTCAACAATATTGAAATCAGTTCGTATGTATAGAGGAAAATATAACCAATTCCGAAGTGTAGGATGATGAATAACTTTAAAATAAATGACATTCCGATTTATTTGTCATATACAAACTGATAACATCTAATCTGTGTTTAAATATATAGTGTCAGATGTAAATTTTTAGAAACAAAACCATATTACAGTTCAAAGTATTCTCATTAAATAATTTGAAGTTATTTTAACACTTTAGTCTCTATTGATTTTTACTTGAGAATAGTTTGTGTGCTAAAACTATCGGTTGATTTCATGTACAAACATCAGAATATTTTTCAAAACCAATACTAAACTGAAGTATGTGTGTGTGTGTATGAGCAAATCTAAAGGCAATTCTGTTTATTCACTGTAAGGGATAACGTCTAAAAGACCGAGCCATATAACAAGCACAAGAACAATCCTGTGAATAAAAGATGACTTTTCTAAATGAAAACGGATCAACCGTTTCTTCAATCATTATACTATGAAATGGATAAATAAATCAGTTACAATAGAAATAAATGCACTAGGTTGAGTCAGCAGAACCTGCCAGAAGTCACTTCGACTAGTAAAACAGATGAGTTGAAGCTTCGTCATACTGTAGACAAGGCTAGGCAAAAATAATAAGAATTGCCGAATCAACTCTTCAAACAAAATCCTAGACAAGATTAGCACATCGATAATGACCGATTGAAAACCACGTCCCTCAACCTGTAATTTTTGCACAAGTCAGGATATGTATTTCGAAACATGATTGGACACCGTTGATAAAACATACTTCTCAGTTTCACTTTAAGTATTTTAACGCAAAAGTCAATGTATTCAATTCTTTCTTACATTTCACAGTGTGTTCTTTAATTATCTCTACTGTTATGAAACTTCATGTGATCGACATGTAACATATGTGAGGTGAAATTGGTAAACATGCGCATAAGCATCATAAGTGAAATAGCTCACTGAGTTGATCATCCGAAAACCTAGGTTGAGGTGTTTCCCATTAGAAAGTATAAATGGATTGTTATGGTTATCATGTGGACACCTCGACGTTCGACACCCAACAATGAAAAACCTCCTATCTAGAGGAAATCATTTAAACCTCATTAGAGTGATTGTCAGTAGAAATTTCGACAACTTTCCTGTAAACACAGAACTGTGTGTAGTCTTGATTATTTATGACAGAATCTCGTCCAACATTTCACACAACGATTAGAAATGTTGTGAAATATTTATGAGGCTGTAAGTGCTTTATAATGGAGAAAACAAGGCTAATCGTCTTCGAGAGTCACCATTAGTTGAGTGTTCAAAAAATCAGTTTCTCAACCATTCAGTAATGAATGTCCACGCAGTGTTTTATCCAGAGTGATGCGTTGGCACGTTCTAATATTAGCCTATCACTGAATCGCAGAATATTTATCGGGTCTAGTTTTTAAAGCTTATCGATTCACCAGTGCATTTGGTAGAAATCAAGGTCATTATCGGTACACTGGACTACAATAAATTTTATCTCTCTGACTCAGTCCACTTTAAGTTACTGATCTACGATTCTAACCAGAATTGATGAAGACTATTCAAAACATTCTGTGGATGTTTTCTTATATACAAAGTGCTGGGTCATAAGATGTTTGTCTTTGAAGTTTCTTGAGTGTTTGCTGTATATTAAAGAAAATCCACATAGAACAGTCTAAATATAATGCCGATTAAAGTTAGTTATGAGAAAGAGTATTTGCTTTCTTTCTCCATGTACATACATCTCATCGGTATGATGATGTCGTTTCATCGTTCGTTTAGTTCTACATTCAAACAACAAGTTACAAGTTAAAAAATTTCTCGATTACACAAGTTATTTCTGTGATTCTTAGTTCGTACTATGATTCAAATACTCATGATCATCACATCGGCGTCACGATGGAGCCTGTGATGGAATTGTTGGATATACATTCAGACTTTGATGCTTTCGAGGATTACTTTGAAAGGTTCGAAATCTGGGCTATGTCCAAGGAAGGTGATGAAGATGTTAATATTGTAGCACATTTCCTCACATTCATCGGAAAAGAAGCTTACAGCTTATTAGAAACTCTGGCTTTACCGAAAAAGCCCATTTCGCTCCCTTACACAGATCTCAAGGAACTACTGCTAGACTATGTCAAGTATACAAATTTCGAATGCGGTAAAAGAGGAAGATTTCGTAAAATGATTCATAAGGTGCATGAACAAGGTTATGCAGATAATTCATTGAGGAGATGCGATACAGTTCACGAAGATCGATACAAGTTGGGTCAATGTTATTCCTATGGCAGGTTCCACTCTTTTAATTCATGTAAATTTCGTAATTCTGAGTACTTTAAATGTGATGATATTGGACATATTCAGTCAGTTTGTAATACTATTGTTCATCTTGCTGCAACTAATATTAAGTCTTGTAATTCTGGTTCTACTAAGTTGAGTATTTATAATGATCATTTATCTTTATCAACGGTTTCACAAAACAGTGTAGAGTCATATAGCAGTTCACAGTTAAATGAAACTCAGAAATCCTACGAAACAACAGTTTCTAATCAATCAACCTATCAGATTTTTCATGTTATTGTACCAGATATGGTTTTTCCTAATGACTGATTTATTTTTGACAAAATTCCTTGCAAATCTGAAGAAAATATGTTGAGTGAACCTAGTCATGATCGAAAACCTGATGCAGCCGTGAAAGATGTTGATTTTTTCAATGATCCTTTACTCTGCGATAACATTCTTACTAAATTCGAGGAAACTATTTGAGAATAGTCAAAGCTTGATGTTATACCAAATATTATTTGTCCTCATAATGCATTTGTTTCTTGTGGGAAAATTGTTCAATACGAAGCAAGAGTACTAAATGACATCGATTTTGACTACAATTCGGATGATTTCATATCAACTGCTGTTTATCCTTATCACAAAAACACTTCTAATGTTTACTCTAACCAATGTGAGAAATATGTTTTGAATGAAGCCACATCATCCACAAATTGGGGATATAAAAATTCAACATTATTTCGTGGGTGAGGATAGTCTAAAAGTCTATGGTTCAAATTCTAGGTAGCAGCGGTCGCAATACACAACCGCCATGCTTATTACACAATCCCAGGAGGCAGGTGAGTCTGTTCCGATTTCGGTTGTTAATTCTAATACTAATGAATGCATTCTAGATAATAGAGTTTCTATCCAACACAATGTCGGACAGACACATGATGAACTTAAGAAGAGGACGTACAATCGATTAACCTGACCGTTGTTGCCACCTTGACGTGGTTGTCGGGACTGCCTATCGTGATGAAGCAACCGAGACATACTGGCTAGAACAACCGTTCCTCAAGTTCCTACCATTGCAAACAGGTCGGTTGAAGTGCGTTAAGACTAAAAGCAACAGAGCTAAGGCCCGAAGGCGAAGTCGTACTGCTGACTGTACAGAAGTGTGACAGCAGTAAAATATTTCCCTCAGACAACCAGCATCTACAGTGATGCTGCCTTCCCACAAGGAGGGGTGGGGTTAGGAAAGGTCGACCCTTAAAATGTACACCTCGCCTTATCTCACGGATATCCGTCTCCGGCGGTAAGGTCTCAATAAGTACGGAGCTAACACAAAAATTACCCATAAAAAGGTCTTGTGTGGCCGACCTCAAGCAGTTGTCCCTTGGGCACTGCGGTCACGCTCTCAGGTTACTAAGACTACCTTTAATCCGATTTCCTTTTCAGGTACCTCCAGAAGAATCTTTTCAGGGTGTGGGCAACCGGGAAGCGATAACAGCCCTCATACCTCTGACAGCACTCAAGACCACTGTATTCATAATCAACCTCCGTCTTCACTTCCTATTATTCCTTCTACATCGACTTTCAATAGTAAACTTCTTGTTTTGACTTCCCCCTCAAGTGTCACCGTAGCCAACGATTCCAGTGCACAAAACACTGTTCCAGGTCTACTGAAACGGTGCTCTAAACTACACATTGGAGCCTTCAACGTACGAGCCTTATGTCAAATCGGTCAACAGGCTTCCTTAGCTAGAACCCTAGAATCTCGTACCATTGATGTATGCTGTGTCTCTGAAACACGCATACAGGATCCCAGTGAGGACATTCACTTGACCTCACCTCGGCAAAACGGAGAGTCAACGAGATATATCCTCCGTGTATCTGGTGACCTGACGGCCAGCTCTCGTGGACTAACAGGTGTGGGCATGGCACTAAGCATGAGGGCGCAACAAGCACTGTTAGAGTGAATACCCGTTAACAGTCGTTTATGTGCTGTTCGGTTAAACGGCTACGTTAGAACTCGGAAGGATAGGGACATACGTCGTTGCTTTTTTGTCGTTTCTGCCTACGCTCCCACTGACTGAACCCCGGATGAAACGAAAGATGAATTTTACAGAGCTTTCTAAACTCCTTCAGAATACCAAACGTTCAGACATAGTACTCGTAGCAGGTGATTTCAATACCGAGATAGGTAGCTTAAACCAAACAGAAGGGCATTTAGGTGGGTATTTTAGTATTCCGGCACAACGAACGGATAATGGTGATCGTCTGCTGCAACTGTGCTCAGACAATCGTTTATTTTTAGCAAACACAAATTTTAAGCATAAGAAGAGACATCGTCCAACATGACGACCCCTTACACCAAACCGACGACGGACTCAAATAGAGCATATTGCCATCAGTCATCGTTGGGGAGGCTCGATAGAAGACTGTCACTCGTTCTAGAACACCTATGTTGGACTCCGATCATGCTATAATAAGAGCACACATCTGTTTGTGCCTCACTGGATGCAAAAAAGCCACAGTAAAAAGACCCATTAGAACTGAATTGAGTAGCGAGAAAACCAAAAGTAAGTTCCAGAAACAACTGAAGTCACACTTAGGTAGTTCTGAAAACGAGGCTAACCCAGATGTTGCTTGAAAAAATATACAAACAGCTGTGGAAACAACAGTGACATCTATCAGTGATTTAAACCACAGGGTTACAAAGACATCGAAGTAACTGCAAACATGCTTTACTTTCTATTCAAAAAGATTTGGGAGGAGGAACAAGTGCCGATGGACTGGGAAGAAGGGCACCTCGTCAAGATTCCAAAGAAAGGAGATCTGAGCAAATGTGAGAACTACAGAGGCATTACACTACTGTCAGTACCAGGAATGGTCTTCAACAGTGTTGCTGAACCGGATGAAAGATGCAGTAGACGCCCAACTTCGAGATCAACAAGCTGGATTCCGTAAGGATCGATCGTTCACAGACCAAACTGCAACACTACGGACCATCGTAGAACAATCAGTTGAGTGGAACTCGTCACTATACATCAACTTCATTGATTATGAAAAGGCATTTGATAGTTTGGATAGAAGGACGTTATGGAAACTTCTTCGACACTACGGAGTTCCTGAGAAGATTGTCAATATTATCCGGAACTCATACGACGGACTACAATGCAAAGTCGTGCATGGAGGACAGCTGACAGATGCATTCCAAGTAAGGGCTGGAGTCAGACAAGGCTGTTTACTCTCTCCCTTCCTCTTTCTTCTGGTGTTCGACAGGATTATGAAGACTTCGACATCTGAGGAAAAACATGGCATACAATGGACAGACCAGAACCAATTAAACCATTTAGATTTCGCAGATGACCTAGCTCTCCTATCTCATACACAAGAACAAATGCAGATAAAGACAACCAGTGTAGTAGCAGTCTCTGCATCAGTAGGCCTCAACATACACAAGGGGAAAACCAAGGTCCTCAGACTCAAAACGGAGAACAGCAATCCAATCACTTTTGATGGCGAAACTCTGGAAGATGTAGAATCCTTCACATACCTGGGAAGCATAATCGATGAGCAAGGAGGTCCAGATGCAGACGTAAAGGCAAGGATTGGCAAAGCAAGGGTCGCATTCCTACAAGAAGAAACCCGAAATGGTTTCTTCACAACACTTATGTACCCATAAGATGTTTGTGAATAATAATAATAATAATAATAATAATAATAATAATAATAATAATAATAATAGTAATAATAAAAATAATAATAATCGAAGAACATATGGAACTCAAAACCACATTCAACCAATATCAAAGTCACTATCTTCAATACCAACGTCAAGGCAGTTCTACTATATGGAGCTGAAACTTGGAGAACTACAACAACCACAATCAAGAAGATACAAGTATTTATAAATAGCTGTCTACGCAAGATACTCAACGTCCATTGGCCGGATACCATCAGCAACAGCCTTTTCTGGGAGAGAACAAATCAGCTTCCAGCTGGAGAAGAAATTAGGAAAAGACGATGGAAATGGACAGGACATACATTACGCAAATCATCAAACTGCATCACGAGACAAGCCTTAAATTGGAATCCTGAAGGGAAGCAGAAAAGAGGAAGGTCTAAGAACACACTACGTCCGATAATAAAAGCAGATATGGATAGGATGAATAGGAAATGGAAGGAGCTGGAAAGGATTTCCCAGGATAGTGTTGGATGGAGAATGCTGGTGAGCGGCCTATGCTTCTTCACGAGGAGTAACAGGCGTAAGTAAGTAAGTAAGTTACAACGAACCAATGGATTTCCTCAAGGCCTATTGCACTGATGGATTCTCGTAAACTCATCCCATCAGGCTCTGAACACGATGAAGAGCGACAACAAATCAGATCTAAAGAAAGACCGTGAGCAGTGGTGGGCAACGAAAGTAAAAGAGATGGAAAAGGCGGCGGCTATAGGGAACACAAGACAGCTCTACAGACTAATAAAAAAACTGGAATTAATAAGTCAAGTGTAAGTCAGAATATTTCGGAAAAAGACGACAGCCTCATCTGTTCTCAGTCCAGACGTTTAGAACGATGGGCGGAACATTTCAGAGAACAGTTCAGCTGGCCTTCAGCTACTCTACAACTACCCTCCATTCCCAGACAGTGTGAATGGAACATTGAAGTAGGTCCCCCGACTCTTGCTGAAGTTCAAAAGGCTATAGTTAATCTGAAACGTGGAAGCGCAGTTGGTTCAGATGGATTGGCTCCAGAAGTCTTTAAGGATGGTGGTCCAATTTTAGCGATTAGGTTGACTAATATTTTAGCTAAGATCTGGGAATTAGACTTTATCCCATCTGACTGGTCGCAATCACTTATCGTCCCAATATATAAGAAAGGGTTAAAATCATCCTGTGATAACCATAGAGGGATTCGCCTAACTAATATAATATCTAAAATACTAGCCTCGATAATTATCGGACGCCTAACTAAGACTCGTGAACTACAAACACGAGAAAATCAGGCTAGCTTCAGACCTGGTCGTGGCTGCATCGACCACATATTCACCATTCGTCAGGTTCCAGAACACAGGCATACTTATCGGCGTCCGACAATGGTGGTCTTTCTTGACTTAGAAGCAGAATTCGACTCCGTAGACCGCGAGATTCTGTGGCAGTGTCTATCATTGAAAGGCGTATTTCAGAAGTACATAAACCTTGTGAAGGCTATTTACTCGAACACTACTAGTCGAGTCAGAGCTTATGGCGAACTGTCATCTGCTTTTGCAACCTCAAATGGTGTCCGTCAAGGCTGTCCACTTTCTCCATTTTTGTTGAACTCCATCATAGACATACTGATGGAAATAACATTCTCGTCGACTGAATTTTCGAGGATCGATCTCGTACTAGGAGGTACAGTTATTGACTTAGAATACGCAGATGACATAGTCCTGTTTTTGGTGAAGACGCTGATAAAATGCAGTGTTTTGGTAGCACTGAGCAACAATGCCAGAATGTTTGGGATGCATTTCTCCCCCTCTAAATGCAAGTTTTTGTTTCAGGACTGGTCAGTGTCAACACCTGAACTATAGATAGCGAGTGAAGTAATCGAATGCGTGGACAACTTCACTTATCTTGCAAGACCGATCGGCCGTAACGGGTTGGTGTCTGGCGAAATCTCAGCACGGATTCAGAAAGCCCGTTTGGCTTTTGCCAACTTACATCACTTGTGGCGAAGGCGAGATATCCGTTTATTAACTAAGGGACGAGTATATTGGGCGGTAGTTCGTTTTGTCCTACTTTACGGCTGTGAAACGTGATCATTATGAGTAGAAGATACTCGTAAGCTACTAGTATTTGATCATAGATGTCTCAGAAATATTACTCGAATCTTGTGGGATCACCGGGTAAGTAATAGTGAGGTTAGACGCATGGTATTAGGGCATGGTGGTAAATCAGTTGATGAGGTTGTAAATCTTCATCAACTGAGATGGTTGGTTGAGTTGACTCAACACTGATTACCACGTCTCGCAACTCTGACTAGTGTTGGAGACGGCTGAAACTAGGTTAGGGGCGGCTAAACCAAATCTTGACATCAGTGCTTGAAGTCACTAACTTTTAGACTGAACCATGTTGGTGGATGCAGACTACTTGGTAGGGGTCTGCGTGACTATCGTAACCGATGGTTGGAGACTCTGTGTAAGATGGATCAGAATCGACCACAATGGCGTAGGTGTATACACTATTTATCTTCTCTTGAACCGTGAGATTAGAATTCCCTCATACCTTTCTTTTTACGAACCAATTATCTCTTCCTGTACTATATCTGTATACACAATTTTTCTTTTACATATCACTACCATTGAAGTAACTACTTCTATGAATTTGGTGTTCATCTTGTTGTGCTAATGAGGTATGGCAACTTGGACCTATGTATATATGTGCATGGTCCTACGTAATATTTTATTATTATTACGTATTCATTTGGAGAAATCGTCACAGCCAACCATGAAAAAAGTATGTTGAAACAATACATTAAAAAATCAAGCAAGTATAAAGAAACAGATTAAAGCAAAACTCATGAATGTAAACAGTAAATATCGGTTGAGCTTCATTTTTCATCTACATCGTCTAAAACCTCTGAAGTACGTTTACGAGAAGAACCTTTAAACACTGAACCAATTAAACCATGAGCGGTAGTTAACAAATTCACTGGTGTCGTCCCATCTGTAATTAATGTACTTTGTAGGCCAAAGCGTTCAACATGCTCAGATTATGGTCTGATTCGGCTGTTGCCATTGCACGTAGTGTATCTGCACCTAATGCATTCACCATTGAAATGAAACGCGATTTCTCGATTTCCGTTTCATCTTCCTTATACTTTAGAGCTAATTCATTCTTTTCCTTGATATAGGCGATCTCTGCAGCTCGAGCCAATTTGAGTCTTCCTAATTCTGCATTCTGAAAATATTGTTTAAATTCATAAAACAATACGATCAATGATTGAGATATCGGGATAGGGAAGATTAGATCTGACATCCATAAGTGGAAAACTTTCGAAACACCAATGCGTCCTACAATCATTATTATCATACTGTAGGATTATTCACATGTGGTCTAATTGTAGAATACGGTGATATGTCTACTAATGGTAGAGGTCGCTTTAAACCGCTAACCATAAATCAACTTCGGTATTTCCAGTAATTTGAGTACATGAAATCCCAGAGGTTACATTTGTAAAGAATATTGTTTGGAAAATTTAAGAAATCTTCAAAAACAATGAGGATATGATTACCTTATGAAATTTAACTGCCAGTTCAGCTTCCTTATGTTCTCAAACGTCGACAATAAAAACAAAATGTGACAGCAATTCCGTAAATACATTTTATGTAATTCCTTCACTCCTCTCATTACATTCTACTACTATATTTCCTCATTTTATTATTGACGTGTTTATCTGGCTACATTCCCAGTCTCTATGTCGCACTAAATGTGTTGAAACACAACTCCGGTTTGCACGCTTAGAAAGCTTTTTTTACAAACAGAATCACAAGTCAGAGCACGAAATTTAGTTACGCAAACTCATTGCCGCCGGATGACATTGCTGAACATGTGCCTGACGTAATTTTTAAGCCGGATTCAGACTCACCATACGATTGTCTAAAAACGCAGGTCATTCGTGTTACGTCTCTCACCGATCAGCAGACATGTGATCAACTTTTAGCTAATGTAGAGCTAGGTGACAGTGCACTACCTCAATTAAATAGCCACATGACAAATTTATTAGGGAATCGTACAATATATAAACGTCTATTGTATCAATTGTGGCCCAGACGTCTCCCACAAAACATCCAACAGATACTAGCAATTGGAGATAAAGATATCGATTTTGATAGGCTAAAGGACATAGCCGATAGAATTTACGAGCCGACTATGACTCGCTCCGTATGTCACATACAATCAAGCCCAACTGAGAAAAGAATCGGAACACAGTTCTTAATCGACATTAGAGCAGAAGTTAGTGTAGTGCCACCCACTACACTTGAGAAAAACACACCTGACCTCAAACAAAATCTACAAGCCGCAAACAGATCTGAGATCAAGGCGGACCGTAAAAGGCAGTTACAATTAAATCTCGGTCCTAAATCCAATTTTCCATGGAGCGTCATCATATCTGACGTCCTCGTTCCTATAATCGCCACTGACTTTCTGCAATTCCATAAAATACTATTAGATGTTAGAAATCGGAAACTTGTACTTGCCTATCAGAGTAAGGAAATTAGAGGAATTGTATCTAATGAGACTTCCATACATTTATTAGTCAAACCTCATCACGAGAATTACAAATACATCAATTTACTTAAGCAGTTTCCAGATTATTACGACCGAGTTTCGAGCATGACTAACCGACGTATACCGTCGTACATCACATAAAGACAGAGGGTACACCAATGTTCGCACGTTCAAGACGCCTTGATCCCTCTCGTCTGGCTATCGCAAAGAACGAATTCAACAAAATGATTGAGTTGGGCATCATACGCCCCTCCGATAGTCCGTGGGCATCACCGCCCCATATGGTACCCAAGAAGGACTCTTCCGAAGTTAGACCTTGCGGTGACGACAGATCTCTAACAGCCAGTCTATGCCAGACAGATATCCTCTTTCACATTTACATGACTTTACTCATAGTCTATGTGATGTGACGATTTTTTCAAAAGCTGATCTAGTCCGTGCTTACCATCACATTCCAATTCACCCGGACGATATTCCCAAAACAGCCATTACTACCTCATTTGGACTATACAAATTTGTTCGCATGCCTTTCGGATTAAAGAATGAGGCATAAAGTTTCTAGCGTTTTATCGACCAAGTGGTACGTGGCTTACCGTTTGTATATGCTTACATAGATGACCTACTTATCGCAAGCAAAGATGAAAATGAACATCTAACTCATTTGAAAATGCTTTTTGAAAAGCTAAAAGAGTATCGGTTAGTAGTCAACCCTGACAAATGTGAGTTCAGAAAAAAATCCTTCAACTTTTTAGATCACGTACTTGATAATCAAGGCATCAAACCAGTTCCTAAGAAAACACAAGCCATCAAACATTATCCTTCATCTAATTCATTCAAGAAACTACGACGTTTCCTTGGCATGATCAACATTTACAGACGTTTTATTCCGAAATGTGCAGACATAGCAAAACCGCTAAGTGATCTATTAAGGGGACGACCTAAATCATTAACAATGACATCGCAAGCAGTTCGAGCATTTGAACAATTGAGAAGCGCCTTAAGCACCGAGGCATTACCCGCACGACGAAAGGTTGATGCACCTTTAGCAGTAATGACCGACGCTTCTAATGTAGCAGTAGGTGCTGTAATCCAGCAACGTGTCAATCAACAATGACAACCCCTTGAATTTTTCTTAAAAAAGCTTAACGCAACGTAAACAAAATATAGCACATTCAGTAGAGAACAGTTAACTGTCTACTTAGCTATCAAACACTTTCGGTATATGTTAGAAGGGAATTCTTCTACGATATATACTGATCACAAACCTCTAACTAAGTTTATGATGCACAGTCATGATAAATACAGTCCGCGCGAAATTCGTCAATTAGAATTCATCTCGCAATATGCAGCTGATATACGCTATATATAAGGCAATGAAAATGATGCAGCACATGTACTATCGAGAATTAATATCAATACCTTCTCGATCCTTGATATAAACTATCAAGACATGGCAAATAATCAAAAGCTCAATAGGGAGCAACAAAAAGTTTTGCAAGCTAAAGAAACGAAATTGTTATTCCAAAACATCTCCATAAACAACAAAGACACCTTAACCTGTGATATCTCAACAGGTAAAACTCGCCCCTTTGTACCTTGAGACATGAAACGAAACAATTTTGAGAAATTACACAATATATCTCATCCAGGTATAACAACCACTGTAAAGGTTATCACAGATAGATTTGTATGGCCAAAGATAAACAAAGATGTACGAAAATGGTCACGGGAATGCATCCAATACCGGGGGTCTTACTTACTTACTTACTTACTTACGCCTGTTACTCCCAATGGAGCATAGGCCGCCGACCAGCATTCTCCAACCCACTCTGTCCTAGGCCTTCTTTTCTAGTTCCATCCAATTCTTGTTCATTTTTCCCATGTCTGTTTCCACTTCTCGGCGTAATGTGTTCTTTGGTCTTCCTCTTTTCCTTTGGCCTTCAGGATTCCATGTGAGGGCTTGTCTTGTGATGCAGTTGGGTGCTTTCCTCATTGTGTGTCCTATCCGCTTCCAGCACTTCTTCCTGATTTCTTCCTCCGCTGGGATCTGGTTTGTTCTCTCCCACAGTACGTTGTTCCTAATAGTGTCTTGCCAACGGATCTGAAGTGTTTTGCGTAGACAACTGTTAATAAACACCTGTATTTTCTGGATGATGGCTTTCGTAGTTCTCCAGGTTTCCGCCCCATACAGTAGAACTGTCTTGACATTTGTATTGAAAATCCTGACCTTGGTGTTGGTTGACAGTTGCTTTGAGTTCCAGATGTTCTTCAGTTGTAAATATGCTGCTCTTGCTTTGCCGATCCGCACCTTCACATCTGCATCAGATCCACCCTGTTCATCAGTGATGATGCCCAAATACGTAAAGGTTGTTACATCTTCCAAATCTTCTCCGTCAATTGTGGTTGAATTGGTGCATTCTGTGTTGTATCGGAGGATCCTGTTTTTCCCTTTGTGTATATTGAGACCTACTGCTGCTGAGGCTGCTGCCGCACTGTTCGTCTTCTCCTGCATCTGTTGTTGCGTTTGGGATAGAAGGGCCAGATCATCTGCGAAGTCTAGGCCGTCCAGCTGCATCGCATCTGTCCACTGTATCTCGCGTTTCCCATCAGATGTTGACGTCTTCATGGTCCAGTCGATCACCAGGAGAAAGAGAAAGTGTGAGAGTAAGCAAACTTGCCTGACACCGGTCTTTACCTCGAACGACTTTGTCAATTGTCCTACATGCACGATTTTGTAGTTTAATCCATCATATGAGTTCTGTATGATATTGACTATCTTCTGAGACACGCAGCAGTGTCGAAGAAGCTTCCATAGTGTTGTTCCGTCCACGCTATCAAATGCTTTTTCGCAGCCAATGAAGTTGATGTAGAGTGATGAATTCCATTCAACTGATTGTTCCACAATGATCCGTAGAGTTGCGATTTGGTCTGTACACGATCTATCCTTACGGAATCCTGCCTGTTGGTCACGAAATTGGACGTCTACGCAGTCCTTCATCCTGTTTAACAGTACCCTGTTGAAGACTTTTCCTGGTGTTGAGAGAAGAGTGATGCCCCTATAGTTATCACAGTTGCTGAGATCGCCTTTCTTCGGTATTTTGATCAGAACTCCTTTTCAGTATATTGGTACTTATTCCTCATCCCAAATCTTATTGAAGAGAATGTGGAGTATCCTTGCAGTTGCCGCTACGTCTGCTTTCAGTGCCTCTGCTGGAATGTTGTCCAGTCCTGCTGCTTTGCCATTCTTGATTTGTCTGATGGCCATGCTGATTTCTTCAATTGTTGGTGGGCCAACATTGATTGGAAGGTCCGTGGGTGTTGCTTCGATGTGGGTTTAGTGTAGCTGGTCGATTCAAGAGTTCTTTGAACTCTTCAACCCACCTGTTTTGTTGCTCTTCAATGTTAGTGATTACCTCGCCTTCCTTGCTTTTCACTGGTCGTTCTGGTTTGCGGTGATTTCCAGAGAGTTTCTTTGTCGTGTCATACAGTTCTCTCATGTTTCCTCTTGCAGCCTTTTCCGCCATCGTTGCTAAATCTTCCACATAGTTACGTTTGTCGGTTCTGATGCTCCTCTTCACCTGTTTGTTTACTTCTGTGTATTCAGCTTGTGCCTTGGTTTTTTCTGCTCTTGTTCGGCTGGTATTGATTGCTGCCTTCTTGTTCCTTCTTTCTTGAATCTTATCCAGTGTATCAACAGTGATCCATTCTTTGTGATGGTGCTTCTTGTGACCCAGGACCTCATGACA